CATTTACGACGTCGAGCCCTGCCGGCTGAACTATCTCAACGACAATCTCCGGCTGACCGCAGCGCAGGCGGCGGAAACCAGTCCGATCCTGCACCTGCCGAAGAAGAGCGCGCCGGTCGTCCTGGCCTACGGCACCGGCGAATTGCCCGAACTGCAGCGGCAGTCCGTCGCCTATCATGAGGCGCGGCAGGCAGCGGGGCTCCCCAGTGAGATGTTGCCACTGGCGGGCCTCAACCACTTCTCGATCATGGATGAGCTCGAGGCGGCGGACGGTTCGCTGGCCACCACGGCGGCGCGGCTGGGTCGCGCCAGCGGCTAGAACCGACGGCAACGAGGCCCTCGCGCGGCCCTGGCGCGAATCGTTGTCAGGGCCTCGTAAGCAACTCCGTCTAGTTTGCGGCCGGTCATGAAGTTCCGCGAACTCAACCCGTCGCAACAGATCATCGTTCGCCGCCTCGCGCTCGGCCTGACGCTGGCCGGCCTCGGAATCCGCGAGGAGTTGTGGAGCCTGGCGCGGCTGGGACTGGTGACGGGAAACCGCGACTATCCGCAACTGACGGAGGCGGGCTTCGCCTGCCTGCATGCGATGCCGTCCGACCGCCGGATGCCGGGCTGAAGCCGGTCAGGGACCGCCGCGCAGGGTGATGATCGCGACCTCGCCGCGGCAATTGAAACGCACCGGCGGATAGGCGACGCCGAGGCCCGAATTCGTGTAGCCGGTCATCGCGCCCTGCTTCCAGAGGCCGACCGCGCCGTGATGGCATCGGGTCAGCGTGCTGAACACGGGCTTTCCGCCGGGCAGGCAGATCTGGCCGCCATGGGTGTGCCCCGCGAGATAGAGCGCATAACCCGCCTCGGCGGCGTGATCGGCCATTTCCGCGGAATGGATCAGGGCGATGCGACAGGCCTCCGTCGAGCCGCCCAGCGCCTTGCGAGCCGCATCGGTGTAGAAGCTGTTCACGTCGTCCAGTCCCGTCACGCCGAGCCGGTCCGCCCCTCGCTCGATGACGATGGAGCGGTTGATCAGGACGTCGAAGCCCAGATTCTCCAGCATGTCGGCCATGGCCTCGGAATCATGGTTGCCCAGGATGGCGAGGCGCGGACCGCGGACGCGAACGCCGCGCAGCGCCTCCATCAGGTGACCGGCCGACGCCGCCACGGGCGCGTGGTGATTGCCGTGGACGTCGCCGGTGACGGCGAGCAGGTCGACCTCGACGCCGTCGAGCAGGCGATGGGCCGCTGGCACCAGGTCCGGCAGGACGTCGAGATGCGTGTCGCTCAGGTGGAGGATGCGGTAGCCATCGAACGCCGCCGGCAGGCCCTGTACCTCGATCTCGCATTCGGTGCGCTGCAGGTCGAGTGCGTTGT